TCCAGCCCCCCTTTGATTGGGTGCATGTTGTTTTTCTTCTTAATCTTGTTGTATCTTATTGTTTTAATCTTTTTTTTTAATATTTTCCATTTCTGTAAGCCGCCCGGAGTCCTCCGGGATTGGTCGGCCTATAAATTCAATAAATGAAAATGAAATGAAATGAAAGTGTGTTTTTCTTCAGCATGCTTGGCAAGTTAATTTAATTCCTCTGATTGTTTCAAACCATCAAGAGTTGGACAGCCTCGAAATTTAAATAAGTAAACTTCAAAAAGGAAAGAAATTTTCAGATAAAGCATAAAAGAGCAGCAGTTGGATATTAACTACTTATTGTTCAACTTATATATGCTCCTAGAAACTTTGAAGCATTTTTCATATCAGAGCAGTTTAAATATAATATAGATAGTCCCCAACTGAAAACCATTCATTTAGCAACCTTTTGACATTACAATGGTACTAAAAAGAGTGACTTAACTATTTTTCACACTTAGAACCTCTGCAGCATCCCAATGGTCACAGGATCAAAATTTGAATGTTTGACAAATGGCATGTATTTCTGCAGTGTTTTGGGGTCATGTGATCACCTTGTGCAACCTTCCAACAAACAAAGTCAATGGGAAAACCAAATTCACTTAACAACTATATTACTAACTTAACAACTACAGTATTCACTTAGTAACCCTGGCAAGAAATGGGGCAAAACTCATTTAGTAAATGTCTTACTTAGCAACAGAAATTTTGGGACAATTGTAGTTGTAAGTCAAGGGCTACCTGTATAGCATACTGGGGTTCATTTATTATTTAATACAAATTTTTAACATCATCATTATTAGATGTCATGGCATTCAATGAATTGGTACTGCAAAGACCAGTATCCAAAAAATGGAAAGCAATCTCCCAAATGTATAGAAATGTTTCATTCGTGTTTCCCTTTTCTATCGTAAGATAAAGGTAAAGTCTTTTTTTACTTGAGTTTGACTCTATGTGACTATTTTAATGTCTACTTTTTCAGCAGACATATAATAAATCCTTGTATGTAGATCAGAAGTAGAGGGATTTTAAAGCTTGTATTTGTGAAGACTGCTATATGAAGTTCTAGTTGCTGCTGAACATAGTACAGGCAGACTTCAATTTATGACCACAGTTGAGCCCAATATTTCCATTGCTAAGCAAGACAGTTGTTAAATGAGTTGCATTCCATTTTATTACACAGTTGTTTGCCACAGTTGTTAAGTGAACCATGCATTTGTTAAGCAAATCTGGCCACCTCCATTGACTTTTCTTTTCGGAAACCAACTGAGGTTACAAATGGTGATCACATGACCCTGGGACACTATAGGTCATAAATACATGCCAGTTGCCAAGTCCAATTTTGATCACATGATCATGGGGATGCTGTAAAGTGTGAAAAACAGTGAGGTCACTTTTTTTCAGTGCCATTGTAACTTCGAAGGGCCACTGAATGAGTGATTATAGGTATAGCGAATTGTGCAAATGCTTATCTTTCACCAACTTAAGATTCCTAAAGATTCCAACCATTTTAAAAACAAGCAAAAACATAATATACCAAAGCCTTTGCATGGTGATGAATTAATATTGAAAAAAATCATGGTTTTATTTGATAATAAATATCATTTTCTTTCAGTGCTAATCAGTGGACCTTTGGCCAGCACTGTAATTACTTTTCTGAATTAGATACTTCAGTACTAAATTAATTTACGTTAAGATTTACTTTCTCAGTTTGTTTTAAAAAATGTTTCACATCTCTAATTGCCCTTTATGATTTGATATTATTTTGTATATTTCTATGTTCATTACCACAATTTTGTAAAATATTTTAGAAGAGAGAACATGGTATTAATGAAAACTAAAACTAAAAGAGACAGGGTGTTCATAAAATGAAAAAAATGTGTTTTGAACCTGATACTTCTGAAATCTGAAGGTTCTGTCAAACCCTGTCTCTTCTTTATCAGAAACAAAGATACATACTTTTTAGATGGTGTCATTGTCTCTGCTGCATGGCTTCAGAAAAACTTGTTTTTTTTAATGGTTCCTCAAAACATTTCTGCTCAGAACAATTACATTTTAGTCAGTATATGGAATAAAACACCCATATTTCTTTCTGCATCTGGGTAAAAAAAAAAAATGTTTCCGTTTGGATACACAAACACCCATTTCTCTTCCATGTAAAGGAATGATGTGTGCATGAATTATTTTGCTGATACTTAGAATATACAAACTTCAAGTTGCTTATAGAAGCTGTTAGGAAGAGGAAAAGCCATTTCTCTTAATAAATTGTCTTTCTCTTTCTTTTTAAAGTTGAAGCATTGTAGCCGCTATATACATGACTTGTTTCCTTCATTGATCAAGAACCTGGATCCTGTGCCACTCAGACATCTTCTTAATTTAGTTTCCATTCTCCATCCAAGTGCACATACCGAACAGGTAGAAATAAATGAATTTAAAGCAATATTTTCTCTGGCTGAATTTTTTTCCATATATGACTTTTTTAAAATTAAGCAAAATTACATATGAAAGTAGTAGGGGAAATTATGGAATTGCTGATTGAATAAATTGGATGCCCTTGTTCCAAAAAGAGGGAGAGGAAATTCATTTATGTGCATAGGTTTACTTAGATTAGAGGCCAATATTTACATTCTTATCTTTTTTTTTTTGCTGTAATAGAAAAAAATTAAATTAGGAAGATTCCATTTGAGCCTAGATTGCATTTGCATTGCATTTGTGAATTTATGGATAACAGCATACACATTTACAATTTATGAATAACAATACCCATTTTTGATATTGTGATTTATTATCCCTTCACAGACTTTATATTTGGCATCCATGCTCATTAAAGCATTGTGGAATAATGCTCTAGCAGCTAAGGCCCAATTATCAAAACAGAGTTCTTTTGCATCTTTACTTAGTACAAACTTACCCATGGGAAATAAAAAAGGTGAGTGCACATTTATTTCCTGGGCATCATAAATGATTAACTAATAGATTTAAAGTTTTATGGGTGAGTTTATTATAGAGACTAATATATTTTCTAAACAAGAAACAGTTTCTTTTAGTTAACCATAAATTTCTTGTTTTGTTTTTATTCAAATATAGAAATAAGAGTTCCAGATAGAAATGCCCAGTATATTCTAGAAAATAAAGAACTCTCTCTAGAAAATTTAGTTAGATACTGATACTCCTTGATTTATGTCCCCAATTGGGATCAGAACTTCTGTTGTTAAATGATGCCGCTGTTAAGTGAATTATGCCTGATGTTATGACCTTTTTTACTGCAGTTGTCACACTGAAATGAATTGCACAGTTGTTAAATCACATGGTTGTTAAGTTAATCTGGTTTGCCCCGTTAGGTTTACTTTTGGAAGCCAGCTGGGAAGGTCACAAATGATGATTGTGTGATCTGGGATGCTGCAGCTTCCATAAATGCATGCTGATGACCAGTTGCCCAAATTTTAATCACATAACCATAAGGATGCTGCAATGGTTTTAAGTGTGAGGACTGGTTGTAAATCACTTTTTTTCCAACACTGTTGTAATTTGAATAGAGAGTCATAAGTTGAGGACTATCTGTATGTTACTATTAGTAATATATAATCAGCACTATCTTTACTCCCCCCCCTTTCTTCAGAGGAAGAAGAGCTTCGAAGAGCAGCTCCATCACCATGTAAGTTACTGCAGAAAAACATTATGACAGAATCATCTTATTAAGGAACCTTTATATATTTTTTATTTTATTCATCTTTCATTTAGGTGACAGTTAAACTAAGTTACATTGTAAGCAGCAGCTGTATTCTCTTTCTAGTTCTTGATCTTCCACATACATAATTCTATAATTCTTTCTTACTTTCTGTAAGTACAAGAACAGCAAGTCAACTTGCAGTTATACTATTGATGTTACTAGCTGCTAGACTAGTTTCAGGGCTAATCAAAGGTTTACAGCAAGAGCCACAACAAAACAGTGCCCCCCTCCCTTTTTGGCATTAGGGACCAGTTTCATGGAAGACAATTTTTCCACAGATTGGGGAGTGGAGGAGCGCACAACCTAAATGCCTTGCATAGCGCACTTTAGAGTAGGTTCACGCTCCTGATTATCTGAGATAGAACTGAGGTGGTGATGCTAATGCTGGGAAGCAGCTGCAAATACAGATGAAGCTCCTCTTGCTTCCCTGCTCTCACCTCCAGCTATGCAGTCCAGTTCCTAATAGGTCACCGACCAGTACCGATCCGGGGGCAACTCCAAGATTAATTCAACTAAAGCTATATTAAAATCAGAAATAACATTTTCTGAACAGACTTTTTTTTCTGAATAGGGTCACCTGCAGCAAGCCCTCAAAGCAGTGACAATAGCGATACTCATCAGAGTGGAGGAAGTGACATTGAAATGGAGGAACAACTGATTAGTAGAAATAAGCATGTCCAACAGCGACTTTCCGATACAGAGGTACAATAGTAATTTTTTCCGATTTTGACAACTTCAAAAGACTAATTAAGCTAACAAAGATTAGTAAAGAATTTGATAATATGAAACATGTATTTTTTGTTCAACATATATGGCAGGGTTTATACATTGCACTGAATCATTATTTGTTTGCTTCTCCATATACAATCTGTTGGGTGAACCAAGCCATTTTGGTTTATAAATCATGCTATATTTATAAACAAACCAAAATATTTAGATACTCATGTATTTTGCCAATATTTTGGACTAAAGATTATTCAAATGTACTTTAACATGAAAAGTGCATTTACATTTGGAATTGGCTACCTGTGTTTTGAAAGCTTCATTTGAAATCCTTCTGTCATCAATCTCACCATCTTCCTTCAGGCTGGCAGCAGCCATTTCAGAGAATAGGGTCTTCCAAAAGGCTCTTCCTAGGATGCTTGATGTAACTTGGGTTTTTAACCAGATCTATCTTGCCACCCTCTCAACTTCTTTAAACCATTGTGTGGTTTATTATATATAGATCACTGATTTATATGCTGTTGTTTCCTTTGAGATGGAAAATGCATAATCTCTGAGCAACACGTGACTTTACCTGATTATCTAATGATTCAGCATGTAGATTTAGTTTTTTTTTCCTTTTTTTTTCAGGAATCAATGCAGGGAAGTTCTGATGAAACTGCAAATAGTGGTGAAGATGGCAGCAGTGGGCCTGGTAGCAGCAGTGGTCACAGTGATGGATCAAGCAATGAGGCAAACTCTAGCCATGCAAGCCAATCTGCAGGAAGCCCAGGCAGTGAGGTGCAGTCAGAAGATATTGCAGATATCGAGGCTCTGAAGGAAGAGGAAGAGGAAGAAGATGAAGACCAGAGTCACAATTCCCCCAAAACTAGTCGGAATGTAGATTTGCGAAGCCGAAAAATGGAATCTCAATCAGGCATTTGCTTGGGAGATGCACAGGAAACAACAGATAGGAATGGTGTAAACAATGGATCTGGGAATAGCCATGTTTTTAATAGTGAAACTGTTCCATCAGTGGATAATAGAATTAGAATGCTAGATCCCTGTTCACACTCAGAGAATGCTGATCATGACATAACTGGTGAAATGAGTACTGCTCATATATCCCAGGGCTCTCAAGATTCCTGTATCACACACACAGGGGACTTTCTTGGGGAAGCAATTGGAAATGAATTATTTAACTGTCGACAATTTATTGGGCCACAACACCATCACCACCACCACCACCACCACCATCATCACCACCACCACCACCACCATCATCATGAAGGGTAAGTTATTTTCAGTGTCTACATTTTTGGCAAAAGCAAACTTTGAATTTGCAGCTGAATATTATGTCTTGAAATACTGAATTCTGTGACATAAATATATTAAGCAAAATACTGAAATGTAAGCATTTTTTGCTTCCTTTTATAATTCTTTTGATGATTTAAAGGGAATAAAAATTCTGCATCAGTAAAGCTTCGAAACAAAACATTGACTTTTCTTTAGTATGCTGAAACTCTTTGCTTTGCTGATATATCTCTCCACACATGAACATAAGCAGTCTTAGGGACAATTTTCAAATCTTGTGAAATAAGTAATTTATTGCAGTTTCAAGCACCTTTCATTTTTAATCGTGCTAAGTAATTCTGAAACGTAATATGTATTTCTTGTCTTGTGTGTGCGTGCGTGCGTGCGTACATACATACATACATACATACATATATATATATATATATATATATATATATATAGAGAGAGAGAGAGAGAGAGAGAGAGAGAGAGAGAGAGAGAGAGAGAGGAATGCATAACAATTTGTGTGATTGCATTTCTGCAGTTGAATCTTTCTAAAAATTACATTTGCTGTTACGGATGAACAAATTGTTATTTTTCACTTTTAGATGGAAATCTATTAGAGCACCACCTGCTGTAGGGTGGAGGAAGGAGATATGTGCTATTAATATTTTACTGTATTATTTTACTATATCCAATCATGATTTATTATGACTGCAAAAGGCAACTATGTATTAAGAATAGTTGTTTGTTTATGTATACTTAAGAATAGTTAGTTGCGTAAATTTTTGCGCTGTTTGTAGTATATGTTTTAACATAAATTCTCATTGTGATTTGTAATTCTTGGAGCTAAAAAGTAATTGGATTCTCGTGCTGCAGTCTTAGCAAATCCTATTTTTGTAGATATGAATGAAAAATTATATATTTATTAAATTTATATTCTGTCCATCTAGCTGCCTAAAGTGACTATCCAAATTAGAGTTCTTCAAAGTACTCTTGAATATTTTAAAAAAAGTGAGCTCTAAGTAGCCATTTCTGAGTATAGAACACCTTGCATTCAATAATTTGGTCAAAGATTGGGACAAATGGGACAATTAGTTTCATGTTGTCTTCAGTGTTCTGATTTAAGATTAATGTTTATGCAAAGGAAACTCTTATTCCCCAGATTTCAATAATAACTTAACCAAGCATAAAAAAGTAAAAGGTGGTACAGTGCTTAAAATTAATGGAATGTTCTCCCAAACAACTCTATCCTCTTTTTCATATCTGGATTTAGGGTGAAAATTGGAAGCACTACTACAGAATGGAAACATTCCAAACACTGTTTCTCCTGCTTCACTTATTTTTCACCATACAGAGAAATACTTTTAACTTTCCTCATACATATGTGGTAGCTCTATCCTTGATCAGGCTGCAATGAACTTTTTTCATATTACTATTTCTAAAATAGTAATATGAAAAACCAAAAAACCAGAACTGATGACCTGCTAAGCACTTCAATAATGGCTGGAAGGGATTGCTATAAATAGTTGTTTTCACATATAGTACTGTTATCAAGCAAAATATTTTTTCCCTCTGGCTAATAAGAATTTCCTCCCTTTGCTTATGTAAAACTAATATTCTTCTATAGTTTGCATATATTAAAAGGTGCAGTTAGCATATACTTGTTTTTATGTTATAGACACATGGTTGATGATATGTTAAGTGCTGATGATGTCAGTTGTAGCAGCAGTCAAGTCAGTGCAAAATCGGAGAAAAATATGGCAGATTTTGATGGGGAAGAATCAGGATGTGAAGAAGAGCTGGTACAGATTAATTCACATGCTGAACTAACTTCTCATCTTCAGCAGCACCTTCCAAATCTTGCTTCCATTTATCATGAGCATCTCAGCCAAGGTAAGAAATAATTAAGTCAAGGATAATATTCAATCTCTGAAAAACAAAACAAAATTGTAAAGTCCTGCATTGATGGAAATTGTGTCATTAAATTACTAATCTTTCTACTAATTGCGACCTTCATGTTATAGATTTTACAGGCTTTTTAATTGTAGGAACAAACAATGAACATTGTCACATTACTTTTTGCTGCACATTTTTTATAAAAACTACTTACTTAATATCTCAAAGTTCACACTGATAGTAAAAGAACAAGATATGAGTAAGTTTTAGATTTATCTTTTAAATAACATCAATACAAATACAAATTATTTAAAAAGTATAAGAAATGTATTTGGCTTCCAATAGTAGTAATTTGACTATATTCCAGCCTATTGGCAAATTTTCATTGGGTTAGTTACATACTCATAATTACAACATTCTAGATAAAATTAAACTTTGAACCAGTCAGGAATCACTGCAATACCAACACCAAAGCCTAAGGAGACTGCATCCCAATAGCAAGCTTCTATTGTAAAGTAAGTATAGCATAAGCACATTTATGGATTGTTAAATATATATGTATATATATATCGGTCTAAAACTACAGGAAAAACATGTCACTCAAGCATCTTCTTGGACCTTATCTAAAGGTTGGAGTAGTGTCAGGTCTGTAGCTCCATAGTTATTGCCTTGTTTTGAACTTCTGGATGTTTGCATTATGCTTGTTTTGATACATGCATCTAAATTGGGAAGGAAGGGAGGGATGGTTATGATTCGGATTAAACTGAAAATAGTAAAAAAAAAAGATGTTTTATCATGCATCCTGTGTTATATTATGATTAAAGCTGTATGTAGGAGAGGGTTAGGCAAGTATATGCCTTATACATGCACAGAAAAAAGCCCTGTTTGGATTGCAGCGATATTTCATCCAGTGATCTTTGTGGATAATGATTGCATATGACATAATAGGATGGAGCTCTTTTGCTCCTTCTAAAAATGAGTTGTGCATAATATCTGTTGCTTAAAAACTATGCAACTTTGCCAAGAAAGAAAAAACATAAGAACATTTCATATATTTGTACCATAGTGATTCATAATAAATTTTTAGAGCCAAGGTGGCGCAGTGGTTAAATGCAGCACTGCAGGCTACTGCTAGATCAGCAGGTCAGCGGTTCAAATCTCACCGGCTCAGGGTTGACTCAGCCTTCCATCCTTCTGAGGTGGGTAAAATGAGGACCCAGATTGTTGGGGGCAATATGCTGACTCTCTGTAAACCGCTTAGAGAGGCCTGAAAGGCCTATGAAGCGGTATATAAGTCTACTGCTATTGCTATTTAAAGAGGTGAAGAAGTCCCAATTTATTATAATATTTTAAATAAAATGACTTGCTTCAAGTCTATAGGGTTGTATGTTAACATTTATTTACAGGTGTTCATGGACAGATTCCACTCAAGTCAGGATACACATTCTATATTTTTAATAACACCTGTCTTTTGCTCAGGGCCAGCAGTTCATAAGCACCAGTACAACAGCAACGCAGTGACAGATATTAACTTGGATAATGTTTGTAAGAAGGGAAATACCCTTTTGTGGGATCTGGTCCAGGATGAAGATGCAGTAAGTTAAATATCACACAAGAATATTTTCCAAAGAAAAAGTAATAATAATTGTCAATAACTCTTCTCTTATTTGCTCTAGATACATCTTTCTGAAGGTTTAATAAATGAAGCAGAGAAGCTTTTATGTTCACTAGTATGTTGGTTTACGGATAGACAAATTCGTATGAGGTTCATCGAAGGCTGTCTTGAAAATTTAGCAAATAACAGGTAAATAAACAACCCAGAGTTGCTCTGAGGGACATGAGCAATTTCTAAATATGACACATAAGTAAATATAAATAAACAATTAGGCTTAAACTGCAGGTATTCTTCACTATTTTTTCTTTAAATATAAATATATGATAAAGTTATATAAAGGCTATAAATTAAAAATCGCCATGATGCAAGTGTTGATTTATATATAATTTTCTTTCATTCCTTAGATCAGTTGTAGTTTCTCTTCGCCTTCTCCCAAAATTATTCGGTACATTTCAACAATTTGGGAGCAGTTATGATACACATTGGATTACAATGTAAGTACAAATACCTAGACATAGCAAAAGAAGCTGAATATGATTCTTTATTACCAGTAGTATGATTAGAAATTAGGAATCATACAGGCATTCCTTAGAAAAATGCTAAGAATTTTAAAATCCATTTCATTTTATTTTGAACATTCTTCAACTTAATAACTTCAAAACACTTGCTGATTTATTTAATTACAAATGGAGTGGCAAGAAATCTCCAAGGACTAGTCCAGGCAGTTCCCAGGAGTCAACCCTGACCTAATAAAACCCTGGAAATAATTATTGGGATATAAATAATCACCGTATTTTTCAGACTATATGACATACCTGACTATAAGACGCACTTGGGTTTAGGGGAAAAAAACAAGAAAAAATATTCTGAACCAAATGGTGTAGTAATATATATTTAATAAAATATAGCAGAGTCAACCATGTAAAGTCAACAGCAGTATTAAGAACTATCATCACTGTCATTAACAAATGAGGAGAGCCTTTAAGGTTCAAGCAATCTTCTAATTTTCTGGAAACCCCAAGAACTCATCATCGCTAGTGTCAGAATTTATGAAGCTCAGTTGCTCACAATCACTGATATCACTTTCTTCGCTATTTTCATATATGATATCATCTTCAATTCCATCTAAGGCATTGCTAATGCCACATTTTTTGAATGACTGTGCAATAATTTTGTCCTTCACTGAGTGCCATGATGTTTTAACCCATTCACAAACTTGAGTGATAGTGGGCCTCTTCATTCATCCAGTAGGTGTCAGATCATGATTACCAGCAGCCATCCATTAATTCCACTCTTCTTATATATAGACTTTAATGGTTTGTTGATGGAACCATCAAGAAGTTGCAACTGGCTAGCCAATCCAGGAGTCGAACACCATGCTTCTTCATCCACTGCTAGACGGACTTGGCTTGATGACAAGAAGCATTGTCATCCTGGAAGTCAAAGTCGTTCCCTACAAGTTGCTGAGATAGAGGAAGCATGGTCTTTTCCAGGACTTCAACATACTGCTTGGAATTCATGATTCCCTGCATGATTTGTATCCGACCAATACCCGAAGGAGCGATACAGCCCCAGATTATCATGTGTAATGGATGCTTCACAGATAGATTCAGGTAGTACGGCCTAAATTCTTCAGCTGGAAATTTTCTGACATACTTACTGCACTGATTCCCAATCAAGTAGAAATTGCTCTCATCACTGAAGATGACCTTGGCCCACTATTCGTTGGTCCACTTGGCATACTTCTTGGCCCACGGACGTTGAGAGCGGTTGAGCCTCTGTGAACAAAGGTTTACTTTGAGCCCTGCAGCCTTTGAGCCCTCTGGCAAGTAGTCTGGGACACACTGTGCTTGTGCATACTTTTACATCATATGTTTCGCCCCAAATTCTTGTGATCTGAGGTGAGGTGAGCTTCCTGTCAGCCATCAAAATGCATTGCAGATCCCGATCTTGCCGTTTTGTCAACTTTCTGGGTCTTCCAGAGCAGAGCCTGTCATCAACTGTCCCAATTATTTGGTATTTTTCAACCACTCTGCTCACTGTGGTGCGATGGCATTTCACTCTCTTAGCTATTTCTATACAGGAGTAACCCTCTTCATGAAGCACAATGATGTGATGCCGCTGCTCAGTACTGGTGAAAGCAAAGGCCTTCATTCTTGCCCACAGTGAAAGCTAAATTAAATTACTCGATGCCTATTTTCATGCTTATTTATAGTCAGAGAGTATGACAACATTGATTGGCTCATAGATTTAGCCTCTATACATTTTGATTGGTCAGCCAAAGCTCGCTGCTGATTGGCTACTTTTGATCCTAATATTCTCGAAAATTCAAGTTGTGTTTGTTTTAGCACATAAACTCACTCAAAATCTTAAAAAGACTTTGGTTATATTAATAAAAATTATGCATCTCAATCCAACTACAGAAATTTTCATCAAAGTACTAATTTTGCGTGATTTCTATGTGTGAAAAGTTGATTAAACATGTAAATACAGCTTAAAATTGAAAGCATGCAGGACTTTTTCACACAGCTGTAGTACAACTAATGATAATTGATAGCCAGTGTTCCCTAGATACTAAAACAGTGATGGCGAACCTTTTTTGGCTTGCGTGCCAAAAGGGGTGGGAGTGAAGGGGGGTTGTGCACGGGCGTGCCACACCCATAATGCAATGTGCATGACCCCAGCACGCATTTTTGGCATGCTTTATTCGCCCTCCCCGGGCTCCAGAGGCTTTATAGGAGCCCGGGGAGAGCGAAAACAGCCTCCCCCACTCCCCTGGAGGCTCCAGGAGCTTCTCTGAAGCTTCTGGAGTGCAAAAAACCAGCCCTATGGGCAAACCAGAAGTTCAGAAACAGACTACCGGTTTGCTTGTAGGGCTGGTTTTATTCCTCAGGAGCAAACCGGCCCTACGAGCAAACTGGAAGTCCGTTCCCAAACTTCCGGTTTGCCCGTAGGACTGGGTTTTTTGCACTCCGGAACCTTCAAGAAGCTCCTGAAGCCTCTGGAGGGCCTCCGGGGGAGGAGGCTGTTTTTGTTTTTGCCCTACCCAGGCTCCTATAAAGCCTCTGGAGCCTGGGGAGGGTGAAAAATTGCCTCAAAAGAAGGTTGAAGTCACCTGACAGGACAACGCCTCGTGTGCCCTGACAAATGACTGCGCATGCCACCTGCCATAGATTTGCCATCCCGGTCCTAGAAGGTTGCCAGCTTTCATACATCCTTGTTATTTTACCCAGCATATAATTTGCTTTTTAAACCACTTCTTTTTGCCTCTAACTGCCACCCTCCCTTTCTCTTGTGGGATATATCTTCTTATAGAACACTATTATTCTCAGGTTCTACTTATCAATTAAGCAAAAACAAAATCTTGCATGGATGTGTGCCAGACTCGCAAGAAAACATTGACTCCTGCATGCTATCACAAGATAAAACCTGCCATATCATATCTAGTAGTGGATGTAATGAGTAATGAATGGAATGGAACAATACCAAAAAGTGGCTAGAGTTATGGCACATCATACAGAGCAACCTTAAACCTAATATTTAAGAAATATTATGAACTATCTAAGAAATCTTACCAAATGCAGTGTGGGTGTGTGACTGACATAATGGTTTTCTTCTATAATTCTCATTAAATGATATGAACTCTTGCATTGAAACAGGTGGGCTGAAAAAGAACTTAATATGATGAAACTTTTCTTTGATAATTTGATACACTACATTCAAGCAGTCAGAGAAAGACGGCATAAACACACATTGTAAGTATGAGTCTGGAGGATAAGGATCTTGACCTTTTTGTCTGTTCATGATTTAATATTTTGTACTATCATTGTTCACCTTGGCCTTGCTATTTGCACATAACCACACTAATCGCTAAATGTAAATGTATACTGAATATATGTTCATCATTAATAACTGAAACTATTTTGAATAACATTTCTTAAAGTTTCCATGTGGCACTTGTCCAAACTTATTTAAAACATTTAAATAGCCACCCGTCTTATATCCAACATTGGGTACCTCACAATCAAAATATAAAACATCTACTTAAGATAAAAATATCAAAACCAAAACACCTGGTACTACAATCAAAAGTTTCCCATGCAGCCCCACGTTCATCTAACCCAGCAAATGGAGGAAAACCTACAGTCATAGTGTATTAGTCTTAACTTAATAAAAAGGTTATTTCAGGTTAATATAGCCAGCATGTATGTTCTCCAGTGTTATATGACAAAGAAACACATAATAATATTTGATATATACTCAGTTTTTGATGTCAGTGAACCCTCAGTGCACAAAATTCATCAGCAAAAATCAATACTCAACATTGTGATTTTTGTTTAATTAACAAAATTAAAGAATGAAACAGATTAATATTTGAATGTCTATGAAACAGATAAGAATGAAACAGATTAATATTTTATATTTATGCTGCCCTATGACTTTAATAAAAAAATCTATTTTATATTTTACTTTACAAAATACCCCATATGAATTTTAGTTTGTCTGTTTTGATTTCATTTCAATATTGTTACTATATATTACCATGCACCCTATAATCCATAAAAGCTGGGGAAACTGAAATATTTCATCCAACTGGAAAAATATTACTGGTCCAGGCATGATGAAAAAAAAAATCTGAATCCTACAATAATGTTTAGTTTTAAGATTTGATAATACGTTTTACAGTGGACAAATTAAAATTATCTCTTTGATTTACAATTTTTAATTCCCCTATCTTTTTTGTCACAAAATCTGAATTGGATGTCTGAAGACTATAGCAGTCAAGCTTAAATGATTTTATCTTTTCAAACATTTGTAATAACCATTTGTTATCTGATAATGAGGTTAAGACAACCTTCAGAAAAGATGAGATGTATTAATCTAATTTAATTTGGAAAAAATATTAAGCTGTCCTAAGGTTTACCAATTTTTTTTACTAATGTCAATGATAGATACAGCCACAGCGCAGAGGTTCAGGTGCGTCTTCAGTTTCTGACTTGTGTCTTTTCCACTCTGGGATCACCAGATCATTTCAGTAAGTTCTCACTATATCTTAATTTTAAAAAAATTAATTTTTTGCTTTTTTTCTTGAAGATTTATTTCTTAAAGAAATATTTAAGGTGGGAATTCAGAATGCTTATTGTAACTGCAAATTTTAAGTACGAGTAGTCCATGACTTACAACTGGTGGCTTAGCAACCATTTGGAATTACTACAGACACCCCAAAATGTAAACAACCCGATTCCAAACTCCTAGAGTTCCTGCTGCAGTTGGGCATTTAGCAAGCAGCCCAGTTTATGATAGATAGATAGATAGATAGATAGATAGATAGATAGATAGATAGATAGATAGATAGATAGATAGATAGATA